AACGAATTTATATAGGCTCGAATTATATTACGTCTACCCAAGGGTAATCTCATTATTATTACTATAAAAACTCAAGAAACTAATATTCAAATATATACAATTTCTTACTCCTATTACAGTATTTGGAAAAATAAAATTAGAGCGGGTATAATAATAGACGGTAAATCTTTAAAAAATAAAGGTAACGCAAGGATTTTATTTATAATTTAAAATATAATATTAAAATTAAACCCAACTTTATATATATATAATAAAACTACTATTGGGCGAATTCCGAATTAATAGATTTTTTTTAAGTAGGATAGTAGAGAATTAATAACGATACAAAGTTAATAAACTTTATTTAAAGGTAAACCACTTACGTTAAAAGAGATTAGCGATTATTATACGAATTATAATATTACCCCCCCTAAGAAATCTATATCTCAAGAAATAATTAATTTATAGGAAAATAATTAAGTAAATAGCCAGGTAAATAATAAAGTAAAAAGCGGAGGAAATAGCGAATATATAATAGTTACTGAGTTTAATGAATATAAGAATAATACTGAAATAATAATTAAAAAATTGTAAAAGGTAATAGAAATATATAAAACTATAATAATTAAAATTTAGATAGATATAGAGGTATTATAAGAGTAGTCAATTTAAATATTGTATAAAACTGAAAATAAATTAATATAGAGAATATATAAAATATATAAATCAATTAACTTAGAAAAAAAGAAAAAAAAATTATAATAATAATTTATCCCTTAATTTGCAATTAACGTAAGAGACAAGCTATATAATAATTAAAAATATATATATAATGAACTTAGAGGAATAAATAGTAAGCTTTTTAAATTAAAGTTGGGAGGAATTTCGTAAAGAAGATGTAAAAGATTAATATTACTAATAAGGTAATCCTTTTTTATAATATTTATTATAGTACTAGCGTTGTAGTTAGTTATATTTAAGGCAGCTTTTAAACAGTCGGGCCCGGTAGAATTCGGGTACCCTATTTTAAAGCGTACCTCGTTTGCCGGCCTAGCTACCTCCTCTTTTCTACTTTTTAACTTTATTAAATTATTTAGGGAGGTATACGAAGGTTTATAGGGTAATTAATTTATATATATTTATATAAATATTGGATATTATACTTTTATTTTCTCTCCGTATCTAAATACCGCTAATTCAATTCGTATTTTTCTCCCGCTCTTCTATTTTATTATATATACTAGTAACCTCCTCCTTCCCCTTTTACTTCAATAACCCTTACTAATTTTAAGAAGACGGTAATTAATTAACCCTATAGTACTAATACTATTAAGTACTAACCTTAGGAGGATAATAATTATATTAGGGTTAGTATTAGATCCTAGAATTATAATTAATTTATTACGAAGGTAGTGAGCTATAGGAAGATTCTTTAATATAAATATCGCAATATTACGAATCTCCGAATTAATTTATTTGTAGTACTTTAATAAAGCGGGATTATTGTTTGGTAGTACCGTTATAATTCTAAAGTAAAGTAGGTTTAATCGGATATAGGGATTACGCAGGTAGTATAACCGATTATTTTTATAAGTTATTATTTTTTAGATCCGTATTATTTTTAATTTATAATTGATTATTCTTTAAATAAAAATACGCTTATAGAGAGCGAGATGTAGTATTATTGTTCTAAGAGGAGATATTTTGGTGGGAGAGATGGAAATAGTATTTTTATTTATATTCTATATATTTAGGATTCTAATTTAATACGTTTTATAGTTTCCTTTATTCTATTTTCTCTTTTCCTTTTCTTCTATCCCTATTTTAATAAATATTCCTTATTAATAATTACTTTTATTTACCTATTATAATTGTAAATATTCGACGTATATATAAGTTATAAAGCAAGGTTATTAATCTAAATCTTCTCCCCTTCCGCCTTATATTTAGGATAATCGAATGGCTTATCGATTTTATAGTACTTATTTATATACTTTAAAAAACTACTTCTTATATAGAATAATTGGCCGTATTTTAAATAAGGAGCGGATTTAAACTTAGTAATTATAGCTGTTAATTTGGATTTAATAATAAATTTAGTAAAGAAATCGGGAATATTAATTAAATTATATACTCTTTCGATATAATTACTCCACTCTAATGCCCTTTCGATTCTATATTTTTTCTTTCCTTACTACTAATATTCGGAGTATAAGAAAGGTTTAAAAGTCTTTGTAGTAAAATAGACGCTCCAATAGTATTTATTAAAATTATTTCGACGAATAAAATTTTATTAGTAGAGAAGATATATAGAGAGTATAGAAGTTGCTTCCTTATATTTAGAAGCTATTTACTTTATTTTCCGAGTAATACCTTCTACTTCTCCGTACTTATTATTAAAATACGTAAGAAGTATTTTTAATACTATAAAATGCTTTTAGGTAGAAGTAGTTTAGTTAGGACTATTATTATTCGAATTTAGAAAAGCTATTTTTGTAGTAGTATTGGAAATTGGATTTTTAGGGTTTAAGTATCGATTGATAATTATTATTATAAATAAATTAGGACCGAAAGAATATTTAAAAGGATTTGGAAGGGGGGTTAATATATTTTTAATTAATAAACTATAGGTTCTAAGGGAATTAACTTTAGTAAAGTAGTTTTTTCGAACCCGTTTAATAGTTAAATTTAATAATACCATTTATAGATTTCTAATTTTTATAGTAAATTACTTTACTTCTCTATTATCTATAGAAAATTTAAGTTCTTCCTAGAAGTGACAATACTATATATAAAATATTTTTATATCCTTACAATTTTCAAATATTTTTAATATAGTGGCTATCGGATAAAGCGGTACTTTATCATCCCTACGTAAGGATACGGAAACTAATAATTTAAATAGTTTAGAATCGTTTTAAAATATATTATTAAAAATATATAATATTAAATCGTATAGAATATACTTCGTTTAGTAAGAAATTTCGAATATTTTTATATTATAGTTTAGAATATAATTTCAAATAGCGGATATAAGGGAACCTTATATAAAAATTATTAGCAAAATAATAAGAGAAATAAGTAAAAGTTTTTTATTATTAATTTTATTTTTATTACCGATTTATAATATATAGGGGCGGAGATTATTTCTATTCCCCGCTACTAATTATATCCGGTTCCAAAATTCTAGAAATTTATAGTACTTTAAAGGAAAGATAGGCTTTTCCTATATTCTATCCTTTTACCTAAATTCAATACAATTAACATCTTCCAAATTTAAACGCTAAAGTAATTCGTCGAAGGACGAAAACTCTATTTCGAAGGCATTATTATATAGAGCTTAAATAGCTACAAACGTAACTAAACAAATAAATTAATATAGTACTATAGTAGTAGAAAAGGTTACCTTAGAAAAGTATTAATTTAAATTAACGGTTAAAAATAAGAATACATATACATCTACCCCCTTATTAATTTTATTAGCCGATAGCTTATTTTAATTAATTATAATATTAGTAATAAACTTTAATTACTTTATATCTAGGTCGCAAATAATAAATAGTTTAACTTATTAATAAAGTATATTCTTATAAATACTAGGCCGAAAGCTAATATTTCCTATAAATACTAATATATAAAAGGTAAAATAATATTTAGAATTATAGGGTATATCGACTATACATTCCTATAAAGTACTAAGAATAAGCAGAATATTATTTATAGTAACTTTAATTTTCTCAAATATTTATTTATATAAGAGTTTACACTCTTTTATAAAATTTAATTAAATCTACTATAAGAAGAAAATATTAATACACAATATTAATATAAGTAAGGAGGGAATTTACTTAGATAACCTCTCTACGGGCCTTCCTATAGTTATTAAATAATATCCATTATTTAGAATTTTCGTTTAAATCTTTATTCGAATTTTAATCCCTTCTCTTCGCAAATACTATAATATTAGTTTAAACTACTATATACTTCTATAAAGTAATAATAATTACTATTAACTAAACTCTTTTTACTTACTCCTATTCTTAGGTCCCATTTATATATAAACGCTTATATATTATATAGTATATATAGTCGGCTAGAAAGGTCTTACAAAAAGTAATAGACTTTTTCTTATTTCGGCACATACTAAACTAAATTTTATTAGCCTCTTTTAGTATAAATTATAATATATTTATAATAAATTTAAAAAGTATTAATATATAATATTAAAGAAAATAATAAAATAATAAGATATATACCTATTTTATAAATACTACGCATATTTTCGCTTAATTTTAATCTTTTTATAAAGCGAATATTTATATATTATTACCGTAAATTTATTAACGTTAATAAATACTCTTCTTTTCTATTCTTCAATATCGGGTACAATCAATAGTATCGACGGTTTTTATAGCTCTATCTCTTCCGTATTATATATAGATAGAGGAGTACGGTCGGTACCGTAGGACTTAAATAATACCTTCTACAACTATATATTTTAAAGGAGAAATCAATAAAAAAACTCGGAAGGAAGGTTTTATACGAAAACCAATATAACCTTCGCAATATAGGGGCCGTAATTTATACGGTAGAATTAATTAGGAAGAATAGATATATAATAAATATAATTAGAATAAAGTTTATTTATTTAGTTCAGCCGGAAATCCGAGGGTAAGGATGCAATTTATATTTTAAGGCCTATTTAACTCGCTTAAAGCGATATACGTACGGAGAAAATATTCACCAAAGCCAACCACACCTCCCACTTCTAAATAAATAATAGGGGTAAATAGTAAGGGTAAGCACCTTATTATACTTATATAGTATATACCTAGCCTACTCTGCTGGGCTTGGCGTAAATAGAACGGTATATTCGATGGCGAAGGTAATAAAAATAGTTATAAGGAACGGTAGCGGCGTTTTTAACTAAATCATCCAAACCCCTATAAAAACCTCCTCCCATAGACATGCTTCCGATTAGTAGCTTATCTATGGGAGAGCGGACGGGATCCCGAGTTTTCTACCATCTATGGTCGTATGTGGTAGTATTGTGTTGGAGTGGGCATTATGAAGCACAAAGGAAACACCATTAGTAGAGAGTTTTAAGTCTGAAAATGTTCGCCATCCACGGAGACCCCTATCCACGAGAGGTTATCATCATACGAGTAGCTACAGCCATGCCATGTAAGCACATATCTTTAATTTCATTGTAATTAAACTTGCTCGCCTGCTCAAATCAATCAGTCATAACCAAGGCAGTCCTTCTATGTAAAAGGGTCAAGCATAGTTTGGTTGCCTTAACAATCCCCTCCACATCTCGTTGGTCAGTCCCCATACCCGCGCCAGCGCCTCATGGCAACCCCGAAACCTTCCAGGCCTTAACCGCCCCATCCACACCCGTGCTAACCACCGTACCTTCCTCCGTCCACGCCACCCCGTTCACGCCGTCCTTGTGCGCGTTCGGCGCGCTCGTCCTGCTCCCTGGCTTCGCCAAACTCCAAACACAAACATTCGTGTCTAGCCCGCCGCTGACGGCATGCGTGCCGGCCTCGTTCCACGCGATGCTTAGCACGCGCGCCGTGTGGGCCGACCATCGGTCGGTTTCCACTTCCCACGAGCCAGAGCCGCTGGTGCGGTAAACGACGATCTTGCCCGTTGAGTTGCCGGCCGCCAGGAACTTGCCGTCGCGAGAGAATGACAGGGTGGAGATTTGGGCGGAGGAGTTGGTAAGGACGGCGACGGGCTGGGAGGAGAGAGTCCCGTCAGAGCTGGAGAGCGAGTGGATGCGGACTGTGTTACCGTCGCCGCCTACGGCAATCACGGAGGCGTCCGTGGGGGAGGCGGCGATGGCAGTGGGGGTGAAGGTGGTCGGGAGCTCGGAGATGAAGTCGGGGCCCTGGTAGACTTGGATGCCGGTGTGGGCGGCCACGACGACGAACTTGCCGTCGCTGGTGGTGGCGACGCCCTTGGGCTGGGCGGAAAGCTTGGTGGATAAGCCGGTGAAGGTGTTGGCAGACACGTCGACGGAGCGCAGAGTGTCGTCCCAGCCGACGCTGTAGACGGTGCCGCCTGAGGGGGAGAGGGAGAACTGGGTCACTTGGTTGGAATGCGACTGGCCGTCGACAACGGTTCCGGTGCCCGCGGCGAGGTCCCAGCTCAGGACGCGGCCCTCAAAGCTACCCGTCAGAAGAGCCTTACCGTCGGGGCTGGCGCCGAGGGCGGTGATGTTCTTGTTGTGGCCTTGAACAACGCGGATCGGTTTGGGATTGCCGGGAACCAGGTAGTTGAGGTCCCCATTGAGATTGAGGCTGATAATGAGCCCGTCGGTACGGCCATGCGGCCAGACTACGCCAACTTGCTGGTCCGGGATGCTGACGCTGCCCTCAGGCCCGAACCGCCAGGTTTCGGTGTTCTTGCCCGACTCGGCATCCCATACGCGAACAGTTTGGTCGGCGCTGGAGGTGACGAAATGCTTCGAGTCGGAAGCCCAGCTGATGCCATAGATACCGCCCGTGTGGACACCCTCGCCGATCGCCTTGGTCGGCGCGCCCGTCTTTCCATCGTACAGCTGGATCTTTCTGTCGGCACCGACCGTGACCAATGTTGCACCGTCTGGGCTGAACGTCGTGCCGGTAACGAATCCCTTGTGCTCCGAGGCCTTATCGGCGAACTTGAAGGGTGCGCCGTGGAGGAAACACATGGATCCATCGTCCGACACTGTAGCCGCTCGCAATGGCCGCTGCTGCCTTATGCTGACGGCATTGACAACCTTGCTGTGGCCCGTAACCTCACCAACACTGTTGCCGCTGTCAGCGGTGAAAGCATGGCCAAATCGCTCGCGGCCATCACCAACGGCAATCACACGCTGTGAGTCGCCGTCCCAGGCAATATCGTTGATGCGGCCGGAAATGATAGAGTATTCGCCCTTGGTGTTCTCGGCACCGACAGCGTCCCAGACGCGCACCTTGCCCGAGACATCACCAGAAGCAACCCAGAAGCCTGATGGCGAGAAGCGGGCAACGGTAGTAGTGGTTGTATGGCCAGTATACTGGAGGGACTTGGATGGCTCGTCGATGGTGCGAACGAAGATGGATTTGCCGGACTGCGGGGTTTCAAGGATGTGTCTCGGTAAGCTCGAGTGTACTTTGGCTGGCGATGGTATTGCTGGCGGTGAAGAAGACTTACAGCGTAGACTATGCGCTCGCCCTTGGGATCGCAAGAGAGCTGGGTGGCCTGACCCCGGGTCGTGGCGGGCGCAGCGGCCAAGATCTTGTCGATTTCGATGGGCATATCGTTCTCCTTGACTCTTTTGTCTGTTGCTTCGTAGATAGCTTGGGGACGCGAGAGTAAGTGATCGGCGAGTTGGCGTTTGCTTATTATACGCAGTAGGGGGCCAAGGTATCAACCCAGCTGGGGGGAGCTCGTAACAAGGGGGAGCTGTTCCAAGGTGTCAGATCGGTGTCAGCTAGATGGAGCCCATTGGAGCCTGGACGATGATGCAGTGGGACGCGCGGCGGAGAACCTACCTACAGAGGTACATGGACAGTGGGGTTGGCGTTGCGGGGTAGCGTTGCCGCCAAAGCAGCAGTAGTGTACACTGCAGCGAGCAAGCAGGAACAGAATGGACAGAAGCGCTCCTTCCACGTTCCCCGTCGGTTTGGATAGATCATGTCTCTGGCTGGAAGATGACGACTAAAATCATACTCAGTCCCATCCTTATACATGATGTTCAGATATAATCATAAGCTGACTAAATACAATGTTTTACACGCCATGTCCGTGCAGTCACTTTACATACCTGCTTCAAATGCGGGCTCGATCTTGGCTTCGCCAAATAAGGTTGTATCGCGCCAAGGCTAACACCCACGAGTAGAAAAAGGGGTGTTTGTTGACAAGCGTCGCCATAGAAACACGCTTTCTTCCAACAGAGTTGTCTACGTACTATAAAGGACCACGGGTTTGTCCGGTGTCTCGACAGCTCGTGGCATCGTCTCGTCAAGTGATTCTCCTGCATAACGACGTTTCCTACTGTCGACCAAAGTTTGGGTCACCTTAAGATCTGAATACTTGCAGTTTGATATCATAGACGCTGGATGGGTTCGCTAGGTAATGACTCGATGGCCTGAAGATGGCATCTTCCAACAGGGACAACGATGGAAAAAGTCTACGTAGTATACTAACATCTAGACAGGAGGGAAAAAAGCAAAAAGGGAATGAGATGTTGATATTGCGAGATTCAGTTTGCTATAAAGAAAATCCAAATCCCACGGCAAGAAAAACCAGGACTAACTACTCTTCATGCTTTGCTGGATGGCCCTGGCAGCAATTGCAAAATATTCAAAAAAGAATGTTGAGACTCGGATACCGGGAGTCGAACCCGGGGCTGTTGAGAGAGCAGTCACTCCTAAGAAGTGAGAGTCAACGATGTTACCGCTACACCATACCCGATTTGGAATGGCTTCCGATTTTGATTGGAGGACTCATAAGATTGACACACTATAAGGGCCAAAATGTTAGTTCGAACGTCCATAATGTTTAAGCAATACTCCTTTCGGTCCTGGAAAACCATACACGCTGGCGCATAGGGTCGGAAGGTAATTCAAGCCCTGACGAGTATGAACCACCGTCTGTGTTGAGACTCACACACCGTTAGTGATTTATAACCCATGTCCAACATCTTCACATGAAATACCACTCTCGAGGGGCCGGAAATGATGTTGGAGGAGACGCTCAGTTAAAACTATTTCCAGTACCTCTAGGATCTCAATGTGGATTTTTCACAATTCAGAATCCCTTTACTTCACGAATCGCAGAACTCCATGCTTCCGGAGAAGGTGTTGCGTAAGGATATGGAAACTACAGTAAGCCATCGTCTTTCCAGGTAGGTATGTAGTCAAGTTGCTTTGGCAACAGCTATTAGCCTTTCGATGTGCAGGCATGCAAAAGGACCGAACATCTGAGACTCTTTGAAAAAGAACCGCAATTCAACGGGGAACAGACGAGCTTGATCCTGCCTGTCAATCTGCCTGAGGAGAAGTTTGGAAGAAGAGGATAAGGGACAAAAAGCTCAAACCGCCCAAGTCAAAGTTCGAACTGACCAGCTGCCGGCTCTGGGAATTTGTACCTCCAGCACCGCGCACCGGGCACTGGTTTCCTAGCCCAACGACGGCTTGGCCACGGAGAGGACCTGCTTAAACCCTCTGAATCCCAATCTTATGTACCCCGAGGGGAATTCGAACTGGCTGGTCATAATTGCCAGCCGCACTAGCTCCAGTTAACCCCGTTGCGTCTTAGGATATGTTCGCTCTATATCTCAGATAGCGCCGGCCATTTTTGCCAGAGGCGTCCCGAAGTTAAAGATGATCTGGTACTGAATGGCATGAGATAGGTAACGAAGACAATGTCTGCCCTAACTGGTATCGTGGTTTCTGCTGCGCTCGCTGTTGCCACGAGACGCACCCACTTGGGAAGTTGGGACAGTAAGCTATGTTGCCCCCATCAATATGCGAGTAATAAGGGACAAGTATTCGGTCAACCCTCCCGCGCCTGATAATGTCCTCGCCCGAGGCATATTCTGACGTTGGCCTCGACAAGCGTCCACGCAACCTTGACCTGGGTTACAGCATTTCAACCAGGTGACCGGTGCTCAATGAAGACACAACTGGCTTGACCGACTTCTACGTCTGGTCCTCATCGAACAGCCTGACAAATATTGCACCTTATGGAGCTAAGGTAGTGATGGGTATCGAGGGCTTCAACGTGGGTTCGAAGATGCCGAGCGAGAATGACAATTGAGTTTCGATCCTCTGTATGTCATTGCGATGGTCTTCGGAGTGTCATGCTAAAATGGTGATCGAAGGATTAAATACAACAATGGAGGGGCGATACATCGATGTGACTGTTTGAGGTAAGTGACGTTGACGGCTGTTAGCCTGGGAAGAGGACTCGGGCAGTAGTACATGTAATGCCTGAACCAAGATGTTGACTGGCAGATAGCTAGGTACCAAACACGCATCTAAATCATCAGTCCCGAAACTCTCCCTGCCGATAATGAAAACTTGTAGCTCGCGTTGGGTCCTAAGGTAATGCCGAGTCAGGTAAGTCATGAAAAAGAACTGGTCGAACTACCTGCGCCTGATACAGACGATCGTTGAGGATCCCAATGACTTTGCGTGAAGCCTTTCACAAGTTCTTGCGCAGTTCAAGCCCAAGTTCCTCCCAAAGTCCCAGGTCGTTATCTCGGCTCAGTGCACGAGCAGGGAGGCACGTGCTCCCTATCTACTTAGGAGCCAAGCAGTGCTTATCACTACACTCACGCCACCCTCCCTCGGCGTCCTGTCACCCAGCCCAAGGTTTTGGAGAACAACCCCCCGATTCCAATTTCCCCATCAAAGCGCACATGGAGAAGACGTGACGGAACAGCTGCAGAAGGCCAAACGACTTTCTTTGCGTCGACCAGGGCCCGTCTTTCAGTCCGATTGTGCCATCGTCAGCCCCATCCCACCACGCAACAAACACATTCTTTCTCGCAACAAGGTTCTCAAGGCTCTACAAAAAGGCGGTGCTGTCCCGTTCAACTAAAAGTAAGTTAAAGAGTTGGGCTTCAAGGTTCCTGGTCCAGTCCCCTCCCCATCCCTTGCTCCAGCCAGGTCCCGTCTTTTCGAAGGTCCACGGGAGCGGACCCCTCCCCACTTTTGTATTCCTTTTCCTCCACCATTGCATCGGTGACCAACAACCTGACCACCTTGGCCTCGCTCCTACAGCCCGTTGCGCCAGCCTGACCCAAACCACCACTTTTCGATCCCGCTCATTCAGGTTTCTCTCACTAACCTGCCAATTTCAGTTCCTTTACGCAACCAAGGCCTGACTGACTGTATTGCACGCGACACAATCGCGACGAGCCGCTCTCCAACCAATCATACTCGCAACATGTCGTCTGTGGTGAACGAGGGGGAGAAGCCCCAAGAGGCCGCTCAGGAGCAACAGGAGGAGCAGCAGCAGCAGCAACAGCAGCAGCAGCAGCAAGAGCAGCAGAACGCGGGAGACGATGTCAACGATGATGAGGTGCGCCAGCTCCGGCCCAAGCCCAGCGATACGATCCACCGTGTTTGCTTCCACGCGGAGTGCAGGCGCTAACACCAAGTAATCGTGAACAGGAGGAGATCTCGGCCATGAAGCGCCGTGTCGCCGAGATGGAAGAGGAGGCTGCCAAACTCCGCGAGATGCAAGCTAGTCTGGACCAACAGCATCACGAGCTCACCGAGAACAAGGAGGATATCGACAGTCGGAGCATCTTTGTCGGAAACGTCGACTATTCGGCTTCGCCTGAGGAGATCCAGGCGCACTTCCAGAGCTGCGGGTCCATCAACCGTGTCACCATCCTCCTCGACAAGTTTACCGGTCAACCCAAGGGGTACGTATCTCCTCTTCTTTCCCAGCTGATTACCCCCAAGTACATACGCTGACGGTGTCATTTATCCAATAGTTACGCGTATGTCGAATTCACCGAGCCTAGCCTAGTCGCACAAGCCCTTGTTCTCAACGAGAGTGTCTTCAAGGGCCGCAACATCAAGGTCGTCCCCAAGCGCACGAATATTCCCGGCATGTCGCGCGGCGGTCGAGGTGGTCGAGGTTCCTTCCGCGGAGGCGGTCGCGGGGGCTATTTCGGTGGACGGGGCGGTTTCCCTCCTAGGGGAGGCTACCGTGGCGGCTACCGTGGACGCGGCCGAGGAGGCTACGCTCCTTACTAGTTGTTTTTTGGTGGTGGTCTGACATACGGCACAGGATCCCGCATCCACCAGGACAATCAGAGCCGTATGCGGCCCCTCTCTGACATTCGCAGACACTACCTGGAATTGTGAAGACGGGCTCGATCTCATCTGAGCTGGTACCACTATCAGGCAACCCGGTGTACGTGTTGCATCATGATTCATGGGAACGTTTTTTTCCCTTTTGATGGCTGTAAGATTAGGATATATCAGCAGGGAAGAGGAGGACACTTGAATGGTGGAGGAAGGGAAGGGTTCGTTGTCTTGGCCTGTTTTTGCACCATGGGAGCAATGGGATTTTCAAAGTTTTCATTTTGGCTGCGCGTATCGGCAAGGCGTCAATGGGTGGGAGGGTAAAACGAAGGAAAACGCCAATTCCATATGCTCTTTTATTTCTTCTTCGTTTATTCATGTCACGTTCAATTTTTGTATTTGATATTTGGCATAAGCGCCGCCTACTACTTTTCGGTTCGACATTTGCTACGGCTATGTCTGCTCAGGGGAATCATCAGCGAAGTTGCTTAATATGGGCTGTCTGTTACCGCTAGCCATCACCACATAATGACTAGCTTTGGCACTCAACAATTCAACAATTGAAGCTATCACTTGACACTTCACTCTGCGAACATGTGCTCGAATTAGTGTAGCGATGCTACTTTATTCACACCGCTATTGTTGTTCCGACACTAAAAAGAAAGAAAGTAAAAAAAAGAGTCCACGGATCGTCAGATGCCAGGTGCCGCCGCCTTCGCCGCGAACCTACATCTCAACATTTTCCACCGAGATTGAACGACTCCAATATATAAAGGGCATACCAATGACAACTCAACAGACGCCTGCGCAAGACATCTTTGCTCCGATAAGACCGAAGGCGGGTTGTGGTGAAATTCGAAGAGGCTGGTTTTTGAGGCATAGTAGAGTGAGTAGAAGAGCTATACGCGGATTGCGCATTACCAACCTTTCAAAAGTGTCGAACGAAGGGCGCTCCACTTTTGCTGTCTCGCTTCAATGATGACAGGCACTAGTAGGTGTAGTGTACATAGTGTACATATGATGGGTATGCCTCCATGAACTCCCCATCGTCAAAAGCACCTCAACAAAAAAAAGAAACCTCGATTGAAAATCCAGAGATGCAGTAACGCCCCGCAGTTCCGTCGCACGCGAGGGGTATCAAAATGGAGATGACCGGCGTTTGTGTCAGTGATGCGCTATTGTTGGAACAGCAGCGTCTCGGTCGGCGGCAACGGGGGTACACTACATGTACTGGGATACGCTAGCGAACGCCTTTTTGCACCCCGTGCGGTGTATCGTCGTCATGGGATGTAGAGGTGCTGTGCGTTGAATTGTCAAGGTTGAGGTTTGGAGTGTTCACTTTCCTAGTGTAATCGAACTGCCTCTCGAGGTTTCTTCAAAGTTCGGTAGTGACTTGATATCTGGTAGATCTGCGCAAGATCATGATCATCCCCGATCGTTGGGCTACCTATTGGAGTTTTTGGAACAGACTGCTTCTACACTACACTACTACAATCTTGGCGTTCCCTGGAGGGACCTCGGAGCTTGGGGCGGTCGGTGGAGGTCCTTTACTAGTTACCTATGGAAAGGCATTCAGACCAACATAGCTATTCTAACTCTGTGTCGATGACTGAACCGTGATCCATGGGATATTTTCATCACAGGGCAATAACCCCCAAAAAAGGACACGGGACTATGTACACCAAGGTTGCTCTTTGTGTGCCAATGATGTTGTTGATGTTGATCTCGAGATCTGGATGCCGTGCCAAGCATAGAGTGAATGTGGCCCCCTGGGAGCCTGGGACTCGAATGACCCGACCAACTACTTAAGAGAAGAAGAAGTCAGGAAGTCCCGCACTGTGCGCACCTTCCGCTTCAGTTCTCGCTCTTTGCAGGCTTCTGCTAACTACTTAGTTCCTGGCCTAAAAGTAGCCACTCGTTAATGCGATACCTGAGCTACTAACTGAAAAATTAGGCTTTCTACACAGAGTATGCAAGGCCAGCCATACATTCTGTTAATGCTGCTGAACCATTATCTCTTGTCACCTCCCCCGGTCTCTTCACCAATGCTATCCAACTTGGACTGTCAATTTCTTGGCTTGGTTGCACCATTGCACCTTTGCAACATCGCAAGACGTCCAGGTTCCTCGGTCGTTTTCGGAATCGCTTATTACGCTTAGAACCCACTCACACTCGCATGGGTTCCGACAAGGGGGCTCTTGGACCAGGGGAAAGAAAAAAATCGAAAAAATGTCAGATGACATACGCTATATTAGCGACGCGTACTAAAATACAATATACTACTAGAATATTACGGCTATTAGAAATATAATACAATAGTACTACTATTCTACTATAGAAATTGATACAAATTTGATTACGAATAGAAGATACTTAAACTATATGATTGGCGTTGAGTACAATTAAATTACTTTAGGTTTGGTATAGTTACGGATATTATAAATTTTAATATTTATTTTTATTAAATATACGCTATATAAGTTAGCCTAATAATAGTAATAATGTATTTATATTAAAAAAATAATTATTTAAATTAATAAATACGGATACTATACGTTTAATTAATTTCTACTATAATATAAAAAACGTATTTAACTTTATATTTAATTTATTAACTATAATACGAAAATGCGTTCTATTATACTAATACAAACTATAATAATCCCTATTAGTATTAGTATTATTTTAGTTTATAATAGATCCTATGTAAGAAGATTAAGGTTTTGTTATTAATTGCGTTAATAATATTCCTATTAATAATAGTTATTTCGCTATTGATATTACTAATAATATTACTAATGATAATTATAATTAGTTTTTTGAATTCGTATTACTAAATTGGGAGGATGGTTTCGATAACGATTTTTTCGACGAGCTCCTATTCGAATATGAATTAAGAGGAGGTAATACGCTTTTTAACGAAGTGTAAATTGATGATAAAGATATATTTAATATAGTTATTAAAGATATTTAGGAGTTTGTAGAAGTTTTGGGATTTAAATACGGTATAGACTTTTATTTTTCGAATTTACTAATTCTAATAGATTTTTATTACTATAGAGCCTATTACCGTTAAGCCCATTACCGCTAAGCCCGGTACTACTAAGTTTAGTGCCGCTAAATTTAGTACTACTAAGCCCGGTGCCGCTAAGCCTAGTACCGTTAAGCCCGGTACCGTTGAGCCTAGTGCCGCTGAGTCCGGTGCTGCTGAGCCTATTACCGCTAAGCCCGTTGCCGTTGAACCTATTATTATTGAGCCCGTTACCGCTAAGCCTATTACTGCTAAGCCCGGTGCTATTGAGCCCATTATTATTGAGTTTATTACTATTAAGCCCGTTATTATTGAACCCTACGTATAAGAATTAACGCTTGCCCTCTTTTCAATACTAATAGATTTAATTGAAAAGTATCGCCTCTTTTTCAATACTATTATTATTATAATATTCAACGAAATTTATTTATAGTTTCGCTATAGCGATTTTTTTAGTAATATTTATATTTTTAATAGTATTGTATATTACTATTGCAACCCTTTTATTAAGTAATTGGATAGGGGTTCTTATTAGTATTTACATTATCAGTTATAGCCTTTAAAGCTACGGAAGTAAAAGTACGAATCTAAGAACATATATATAAAATCGATATATAAATATTATAATTGCCCGGTTATAGTAAAGCGCATTTAGTACCTTGATAGTACCATTATTTTTAAGCTTATAAACCCTAGGCGTTATTATTCTTATATTTTTAATATTTGCAATTAAATAAAGAAATTTAAAGTATTAATACAATTAACTATTAATAAGATTACGCGAAGTTACCTTTTAATAATAATTTTATAGTTCTTTCGTAGTAATAATAGCTATAATATTAATATAGGGAGAAATATACGTATTGCCGGCGGTTGTTAGTTTATTTAATAAAATATAATTAATACTAGTAAAATATATTAATAGTAGTACTTTGATCTGCGGAGAGTTAGTACTGCTTTTTTACTTAATTATTAGGTTAATAAAGTTTTAAAGTATTTAATTTAAAGGATTGTAATTATAGTAGATGAGGGATAAAATGTTTTTTAGTTCTATAGGGTAATTAAGGTTAATTGCGAAATTAATTAAATTATATTCCGTGGTTTTGTTTTTATTTCCTTAGGTTAATTCGAAATACTTTATCGGTACGGTTACTTTGTGTTTATAGATGCTACGTACTATATTAATTAGCTTAGGTGGCTTTTATATATAATCTTTATAAAAGACGAGTACGGCTGTTAGTTTCTTTATAGCTACTTTTTAATAGTGAAGTCTAATAGTAATATTATAGTTGTTACGTTATTTATACTATGTAGATAGGTAATTGAGTATTATGGAGAGGATTGCCTATAGTTACTTCGTTACTTTTTTATTAATAACTCTGCTATTGAGTAAAAGACTATTAGAATAGCCTTTTTTAATTTAGAAATTAATTACCTTTTGTATTACGTTTATATAGAGCGGACATTGAGGTATAAGTTGGTTGGTAATAAGTATAAAACCTATTTGTAATATATGTTTGAAGCTGTTAAGTATTGGCGATTTGAAGCGATTTGTAATAAGTTAATAGATGCTGCTTTTACTAACTTATTTGTAGTTAATGCTGTACGAGGGTATATTAATAAGTATTGGATATTATATAAGAAGTAATAGGCGAATTATATTTGTAAATATTCGTCTCTTTTATTATAGGTAATGTTAACCCCTAAGTACTTCTTTTAATATATATTTTTATTAACCTCTTTTAAATAATAGGTAATAATAACCAACCTTCTTGAAGGCTACTATTCTATTTTAAAGTATTAAAATAAGCTTATTTTATAGTAATTTTTATTGTTTGGTATTATTAAATATATAGTAGTAGTTAATAGTTAGTATTTTAATAAGGCGGTTAAGGTAAAGAATGATTTTTATTGTTCTATCTGTATTGTTACTGATTTTCCGGGCTTTAATTGCTTCCCTAAGTTAGTATAAAGGTTATTATTACTTAAAGTTCGTAATAGTAAGCGGTTGTACGTTATAGGGGAGTATTTAGTTTGTGGCTTTCTTAGTTTATTTGGGGTTGTTGTTGTCCAATTATTAAATAGTATACGAATATATAATTAGGAGGAAGCTGAATATAAGTGTAGGTTCTATTATTGGTAGTAGTTATTTTATAAATACTTTTAGTACTACTATTTTTTTAATAATAGTTGAATTTTATTAGTAGGCCGGTTAGTATAGTAGTTAAATAAGTAGTAGTTAGTTAGCTTCGAAATATATAAAATAAGGGAGAAGTAAAGGATGCTAGCTGTTCCCAAGGAATTATAATTTATATGAAATATTAGGTAAGTAATTCGTAAGATTATAGAGGTAGAATTGAATTGTTTTTACGAATTTTAGTAATAGGCTGCTTGGTTATATAGTATTAGTTTAGTATGTGTAGAAGAGGCTAATATTTAGTTATTTAGATTAATAAGGAAGGGTTTTAATTATAGGCGAGGTAATTTATTTAAAGCTTTCTAAATTTAATTAGATTGAAATTTAAACTATTTACTTATTTGGTTCTCGGTATTACTCTATTGTGAATTAGAATTTTTTAGTCCGTAAAAGCTTTATATAATATAAATAGTATAAGAGAGTTTAATTAAAAATACGTTGAATTTAAGTGTAGGCGGTGTAATAAAGGTTATTTCCCTTATTTTATTATATAGTTTCTAAGTATTTTCGGTAAGTATTTTGTTGGACTTTAATTATTTAGATAGTAAGGATGAATTCCCTTTTCTACGGAAGTTCATTAATTAGGATTTGGATATCCTTTTTATTTATTTTCAGTGTAATAATGGCCTTAAGAATTTGTAGGCGTTCTCTAGCGAGTTTCTTTTATATATTAATACTATCGGTATGTAGACCCGCGCTAATAGGTTCGGCATATTTCTAGTTGAATTTTCCTTTAGTTATTACTAGAATTTAAGGGGGTTAAGTTTTAATAAGATTCGAGTTTAGGCTTCGGTTAAGTTAATTACGCTATTATTAATACCCTATTATTTTTAAACGATAGTATTTAGTATATTGAGTAGTTTAGAAACCTTCTAGCAATAGGTTTAGAGTTATTAATATAATATATTAATCCCGTAGTAATTATTTGTGTGTTGTTGAATTTGAATTGTTGCTTCTCTATAAAAGGTTTCGAATAATAATTTAGTAGATTTAGCGAAGTTTATTAAGACGCTGCCGTAGGAAGACGGCGCTGGAAGGTTCGTTCTTAAATAGTATTTAATAGTATATGAATAAATTTAATAAGTTCTATATTAAAATTTCGAGGACCCGAAGTATTAAAAAACACACCTTTCTATTAATAATTAGTATTATTAATAACTTTTTCTCTTCGTTGGCTTTAGGGTTAAAGTTTTCTTTATTACTTAAATCGGATACTTCGGAATCCGAGCCGTATTTATCGCTATTACTATTGCTATTAATAGGGTTGTTATTGTATTGTTTGCGGCTTTTCTATAATCCGCTACGATACTTTCGCTTCTTAGTTTTTGAATTTACTAAATTTCTTTTTAAATTTCTTAATTTCGTCTTCTTTACCATTTCTAAAAGATATTAAGTTATTTCTAGGAGGTATAAAACTATTACTAGAAGATAGTAATAGAAAAAACGTAGAAAAGAAAGACCTATACTGGATTCGAACCGGCGACCTACTACCCGGCCGGCTACAGCTCTATTACTTACTACCCGGCCGACCCCAACTCCAAACTTCTAATCCTACTTACCCAATTTAAAGTAAAATCTTATATAGTATTTTTATTACTTATAGATATTAAACGTTAATATTAAAATCTTTTAAATAAAAGAAAGTAAGAATAATAATAATAAAGAAAAGAAAATACAACTTAAAAAAAATTTTAATATAAAAGAGTATTAAGAAAATAATAATAAAGAAATAATAAAGAACTATAAGTAGAAATAAATAATAATAAAGAAGCGATAATAAAAAGAAATAATTATAGTAAAAAAATATAATAGTAAAAAAAATTTAAATAAAAAGTATAATTATAAAGAAATAATAATAAAGTAAAGATAAAATAATTTATATAAATATAAATATTTAACTTTTTACAGGGGTATTAGTAATCCTCCGCGCCGTTAAGTAATAATTCGCAAATTATTATCTTGACGGCGCAGGGGAACCACCCTCCTACTCCCTCCGGGTTCGAAATTTTTTAATATACTAACGTAATAATTAGGATACGCTTTTTATTAAAAAACCACCTACATTTAGAAAAAAACCCTACTAGAGAGAACCCCTAGCAAGATAAAAACCTAGTAGTATAAAATATATAAAAATAATAGTTAGAAATTTATTTTAGGGATATAAGTACCCCCAAAGTAATAAAGTAAAAATAGGTTAATTATATTTAGGAAAAAACCTTACTAGAGAGAACCCCTAGCAGGATAAAAACCTAATAGTATAAAATATATAAAAATAATAGTTAAAAATTTATTCTAGGGATATAAGTACCCCCAAAGTAATAAGGTAGAAATAGGTTAAGTTGAGGGATTAATTTTTTTAAACCTTTTACTACCCGTTGATAGATTTAAATTTTAAAAAGTTAATCCTTAATTAAATTAGATTTTACAATTCTAATCTATTTATTAACAAGACTAGAATTGTAAGCTCTAAAATAATTATTTATTTTATCTAACAACGGTCTTTATCCTACCCAAAAAATCTAATAGCGGTTTAATATAATTATTAATTATATTCTAAATCGATAGGCCAACTATAATAGTCTCCAATAGCAATCTAATATAGTTATTAACTATACTCCAAATCGATAGGCCAACTATTAATACTTATAGGGTACTCCCTAGTACAAAACGATTCTTTTTAAATTATTAATTAAATAGAATTTAATTAAAATTAAAGGGATTTGAGTGTATAAAGCGTTAATACCCCAGTAGACCGTAGGGTAACTACGTACTAAATTACTCTAAAAAATAAAATTAAGTTTCTTTTGTAAGATACTCTTTATATTCCCTATCGGACTATTTCCTATCGTTCTAATTATTAATAAATATATTTTAAATAGATATTTTTACAATAGTTTACTATTCTTAATTAATAAAAATATCCTTAGTAAATGTTTTTACAATAGTTAATTTCTAATAAATTAGATTTTCACTTCTATTTATTAAATATTTATACCCCTAAATATCCTTAAATTACAATTAAGAGTAGTATTAAATAAGCCAACCCTAAAAATTCCTACGTAGGTTAATTAATAAATTAAGTTATAATACTCTTATATAAATTAACCCATTGCTGCTAAATCGGAACATTT